AGTTTTGCGGCGACCTCTATTCCTCTGCTGTTTGTTTTCCGGCTTCCCCACCAGTTGTTCCATGCGTTTACGTCTCCACCGAGTATTACGTGTCTTGTCCGTAGACCCACCACGGCCGCATCGATAATTTCTAGATAAGGGTCGATTGGTCTATCGCCCTCTAGGTAGACGGACACCACCCCCAAGTCCCAGGTGCTCAGCTTAGCGACTGCGATGTTCTCTGTTGTTAGGCCGGAGCATTGGGTCATGTCGATGACGTCATTGAATAGCACAATAGCTGCCTTAACCACTTTATCATTGTACTGGCTTCTGTCGCTTTGTGCTATTCTCGTCCACGAGTAGCTCTTCATTTGACCAATTCGACCGATATAGGGCTCTTGAAACAGAGCGAAGGATATCCCTCGCTTGGTCGCCTCTGTTATTAATTCGGCCGTGGCTAGTTCACACCTTTGAAGATTCGTCTGGATCGCGTGATATCGGTGGGTACAGATGTTAGGTTCCATGGTCGAGTTTGAGTCAACTTTAGCAGTATGCTACGGTCGACCTCGCGAGTACTTCCCATTTTCTTCTAACCGGACAGTCTGAGCTAAACGCGTTATGATCTTTTCTGTCATGGTTCGCTTTGTTGCAATTTCTGCATTCTGGTGTTTCTCCAGACAGCCAATCAGCACATGCTGTTTTGAGGTGTGGGCCTCCGCAATGGCTGCAAACGTCAGTTGTTTCCGTACATATGCATTTACTATGTCCATATTCCAGACAACGCGAATCATTGAACTAAGGGGGACTGGTCCATCACTCTTACTCGTTGTAAGTCAATGTGAATGACCTCAGCCTCGATAAGACGGTTCCAAATCTCAGGCGAAACTCTCATCACAATGTGAGACGTATGCGGGTTTCTTGTTCTTTTCCGGTACTTAATTTACATTCGATCCTCTTTTTCTGTTATTTCCTTGAAGAGCTGTTTATTTTGCGTTCTTATTGCCTTTATTATCTCTTCATCCTTATTATACTGCATAACGTCTGTCAAGATTACAAGTGGATCCTTGTTTTTTATATCATTTACATTTAGATCTTTCCCTGCCTGTTTTAATCTCTCCTTGATTCTATTTATTGCGTTTCTTATCTTATCCATGACCTGATCTCCTGTTTCTTTTTCATCATTCGACGTGATAATCACTGAATGCATGGCCATGTTTTCTGAAGGCAAGGGTAGAGGTGAGGATGGGCTCCTTAGTGGACCAGCAACTATACTTGCGTATGTTCCTCTGTCTTCCTTCATTTCCTGCTTTTTCATTTCTTCTCTTAATTGTTCTATTTCAATTTTACTTTCCTCTAATAATTTACCATGTTCTTCCAATTTCTTCATTAAGGCTTGTTCTCCTTCCTTTCTTTTCCTGTTTTCATCTTCTAATCCTTTTTTCTCCTAGTCTTTAGGCTTTTGTTCTTTCTCAATGTTCTTATCTGTTTCCGTCTCTTTCACTAATTGATAGAGCCTCTCTATTACCTGAGTAACTTCCGTTTTTATATCAGTCCTCAGGTTTCGAGAGTTACTCAGATGTAACTTAGCCTTATGGAGACAGGCTCTAGCCTCCGATATCCGAGCAGTAAAGAGCTATCTGTGTTCTCAGCTGCTGGTTTACGCGCTGTTGCTCTAGTCTCCTGAGATGGAACAATCTTCTGTCTTGGTCGAGCCACCGGGGCTACCTTTTTTGGTGAGATTTGTGTTGTAGTTTCCACAATTATTTTTCCCATTTCCCACTCACCAATACTTTTCCTCACGCTAGGGACTTGCAACGCACTGTCGCTTTTAGGAGAAGGCCCAGCCTTCTCTCTCCTGCTTGGAGATCCCGGAGGACTCGTGTCCCTGGCACTATCCTCAGTCTTTTTAACGGGCGTACGAATGCCGAACATTTTCAGGGGAACGCGTCTTGGGTCTCAATAACCAATAAAAACAAGTTATAAATACAAAATAAAGCAAAATAAAATAAAATAAAGTAAAATAAAGTAAAACAAGCAACAATACACAACAACACATTATAAAGTCAAATTATGATAAATTTTTAGGTTTGTAAAAGTTATAAAATCTTTTTTTCAAAATTTTTTTGAAAATTTTTGGATATTTTGAAGGTTGTTAAGTTGCAGTATTTAATTTCTCCAATCGGCAAAACCACACAAATGCCGCGTTACAGTAATATAATTATAAATTTTTTTGCTCTATGTAGAGTCTCAACTCTATCTTCGTTAATATGTCACTACGTATACACGTACAATACAATATAAATGTTGCAATTAGAATTTCTAAAAAATTTAACTTTAATAATCTATAACAACTCTACCTAGAGTGTGTCTGTACCTCTCTTAATTATATATTTAAAATTTAATTATCAAATAAGTTACTTAAAAAAAAATTTAAAAAAATTTTAAGAAAAAAAATTTTTCTTGCTCTTACTGGAGCTTCTCTATTTTCTAGCCTTAATCTTATAAACTACACATCAAATTATATATTACACTTATCACACTTAATTTCTAATTATATTTTGGTCTGGCACTGAATAAAAAAAATTTACAAGGCTCTATGTAGAGTCAGTCTAAGACTAAATTACTAGATCTATTTTTATAAAGTTATTTACAAAAAACCCCGTCAGAATCGGATCACTGGTTACTTTATAGTTACAATTTAAAATTTTTTCATCCCTCAGAGATTAACTCCAGAAGTCAAGTTAGGGGTAGGGGGATGAAACTTGGTCAAAATGATCCGGTGGGGGTCGAAAACTATCCCTTTAGTGGATAGTGTAAGTGGGGGTTGACAGAGGGGAACCTCAAAAAATTTGTCAGAATTGAGTTAGGACGCTCCGTTTTCCTGAAAACTGAAAACACAGTTATCGTACAGTTTTCAGAACCTCCCAGCTCATACAAATAAATTCGTATCTCTGAAAGTACTTGCTCTAAAATTCTGAAAAAAATATGTTTTGAATAGCTTATTAAATAGGGATTTTTTTTTCAAAATTACTATAATATTCCTATATTATAGTAATTTTGAAAAAAAAAATTATCTTGGAAATTTTTGAAAATTTTTAATTTTGAAAAATGACTTATAAAAACCAAGAACCGAAAAAGAGCCTAATCCGAAAATTCACTGTAGGAAAATTTTGAAAAAATTTGGGTTAATAGAATTAAGTATTTCCTACCTTTGTGTCAGATTTTTCAGGCGCACTTTCAGGACACCACGTGATTTAGCTTAATAATAAAAAGTCTCTTACAATTATTTTTTTGCACTCCAAATTTCAAAATTTTGGTGTTTTCTTGTAGGTCTTGAAATGCTCTTTCATATGACGTCAAAAAACATATATGTCCTCACTGAAAATTAAATTTTTTTTTACTTTTAAATTTTTTGCCTGAAAATCGGTATTTCACAGCGTCGTATCTTCTTTGTTTCTTGACCCAATTTTTTGGGCAAGGTGTCAAACGATTTGTCTTGCCGTCTTCTTTATAAAACCGTTATCAAATTCAGCCGCACACCTTCAGGTCTTAAAACACGTGGCCACGTGGTTTTTTAATTTTGGTAATATTTCCGTGCGCGAGCGTGGAAAAAAGAGGAGTGTTGGTATGGCGATGCGCCACTCGCCCTATCCTCCGCGACTCAAACGGGGCCGCACCGTTGATGCGGTGGTGGTGGGGCTGCGGGGGGAGAGGATTGTCGTTATTGCGAGGCGCCGCTCTCCCTACCCCCTGTGGCGAGCCATAGACCAGATCCGCCGCTGGGGTCGATAGACTAGTACTTCTCAGTGCTCGTTTTTCCTGGCCCCATGGCCTTCGTGCATCGGACGGTAGGGGCGTCTGTTGCGCAGATGTAATTGGAGGCCGAGGAGGAAGGCGCGCCATGTGTTCTGGTGCGCCTTACCTGGGAAGGAGAACGGGGAGGAATATTCCTCTCCCGAGGAGGTGCACACCATGGGGTTTTAGTCGGTGCGAGTCCGACATAACCTGTCCTTGCCCCCGCGAGGCGGGTATGCGTAGGCATTTCCCCATGTAAGAAAAAAAAAGGTTAGGTTAGGTTAGGTTAGGTTAGGTTCCCCCCCGAACGGGTTCCCGCCTTGTCGTGACGGGGGGGCTTAGTAGCCGTGGCTTGGTCTCCCACGGTGAACAAAGAGGAACCCACATGGCTGGCCCGAGGTGAAGGGCCGGCCTGAGGTGGCCACTCCGAGTGGGCTTGGGGAGCCTACTTCGGATGTGTGCTGGTGGACTGCAGCGAGTGGGGACTCCGATCCCTCTACCGCTGCAGCCGAGGTGGAGTCGCGGAGGAAGAGGAGTGTTGGTATGGCGATGCGCCACTCGCCTTATCCTCCGCGACTCAAACGGGGCCGCACCGTTGATGCGGTGTTGATGGGGCTGCGGGGGGAGAGGATTGTCGGTATTGCGAGGCGCCGCTCTCCCTATCCTCCGCAGCCGAATCTTGGTTGGCGGCGGAGCCATAGACCAGATCCGCCGCTGGGGTCGGGAAGGCTAGTACTTCTAAGTGCTCGTTTTTCCTGGCCCCATGGCCTTCGCGCATCGGACGCGGGGGCGTCTGTTGCGCAGATGTAATTGGAGGCCGTGGAGGAAGGCGTGTCATGTGTTCTGGTGCGCCTTACTTGGGAAGGAGAACGGGGAGGAATATTCCTCTCCCGAGGAGGTGCTGCCATGGGGCGGCAGTCGCTGGTAGGGCCGCGGAAGTGTGCGAAAGCGTTCCCGTAGCCCTGCCAATATGCGACGAAGGTGGAACACCATGGGGTTTTAGTCGGTGCGAGTCCGACATAACCTGTCCTTGCCCCCGCGAGGCGGGTATGCGTAGGCATTTACCCATTTAAAAAAAAAAAGGTTAGGTTAGGTTAGGTTAGGTTTTTTTTTTTACTATACGTTGGTTCGCTTGCGGGACTGATACGCATAGGAAATTCACTACATGATCGGCCAGAATTGCGAATGGGATACAATTCCTTTAGCCTAGCATGTTTCAATTTAAGTCAGTTTGAAACCAACTGTCGGTTGCTCATTCTGCCATCTCTTGTAGCCTGGTATTTGATTCTATTTATGAAAAGTTTTTCAAGTAATTTGCCAAACACGGGAAGAAGACCTATTGGGCGGAAAGAGTTTAAATTAGTACAATCAGATTTATTGGGTTTCGGAATGATTTTAACGTGTGCGATTTTCCACTGTTGTGGAAAATATTGGAGGGACAAGCATCTGTTCATTATTTCTGTTATAAGTTTTGGATAGGCTATAGAAAATTGAGTGCAAATATCGGCTGTTAGATTATCGATACCAGGAGCTCGTTTGGGATTCATGTTTTTGGATGCATTCCATAACTTCTTCTTTAACAAAGGGAGGGTCGTCATTTGTTTTTGGAATTGTTCACGATTTTTCCTGAGTTTTTCATGTGCGGGATTAGAGTCTGGACTGTCTTCAGGGTAGAAATGATTTATTAGTGCCTTTGCGGTTTCTTTTTCATCATTATTATAGCTGTTTCCTACTTTTAGAGTACTCGGTGAGCAATTAGACTTTGTCTCCTTTAAAAGTCTGTTGGTAACTGACCAAACATTCTCCTTACCTTGCCGTTCACAGAATTCTCTAAAGTTATCTGTTGATGTTCTCCGCAGCTCATCCCCGTACTCTTTCTTTTTTCTATTTCTTTCTTCTAAAAGTTGGTTCAGGGCAAGCCCTTTACGTTTGGTATGATGAATTTTATGATGGAGGGAGATAACATCTTTTTTCAGTTTTTCCAATTTGTCTGTCCACCATATGGGTTTACATTGGGTGCCGTTGTTCTTCATTGGCATGGATGCTCGGCAAGCTTCATGGATTGTATTGAAAATATTTGTAATAAAGGATTCTAATTCGGTTTAAATCTACGTCTAGGCATCCGTTATTGTACATTTTGAGGTCTAAGACTGCCTTAAACTTTGCCCAGTTAGCTTTTTCACTTTTATACAGATATGTGGATGTGTTTTCTCTCTTTGTGGTGTTAACGTTAAATAGGTTGAGCGTAAATTCAATAGAATTATGTTGAGATGAGGGACAAGCCTCCAGGTTAACATTCCAGCTATTTATTTTCTCGTATATAGACCCTGAGGCAAAAGTTATGTCGATAATAGAAGAGCAATTTCTACCATGTGTGACGGTTTCAAACGTTGGGATGCTTCCTTGGTTGCAAATATACATACCATTTCCTATTATAAGTTCCGCCACTTCGCAACCTCTTTTGTTAGTTGTTTCACAACCCCATAGTGGGTGCCAACCATTAAAATCGCCACATATTATACGATGAGAGTCACTGGTTGATTTAAGAAAGGTGTCTAAGCGCTCAAGTGTTGCGTGTTCATCGTCTCGGGGCTCAACGTATGCTGATGCAATATATAATTTCTTTGTGCCTATTGTCATTTGGACATCGCATAGGTTAGAAGTTGAAAACTGTGTCATACCTATTAACGCTCCACAATTATTTTTAGCTATTATGCAAGCTTTGACTTTTTGGTCACCTGGGAATTGGTACATGCAAAGGCCTTGTATTGATTTCATTTCTTGTTTGGTTCCGAAATATGGTTCTGAGACTATTGCTATAGAGTAATCGTTTGCAGCAAAGTATCGTAAAAATTCTTGTTGGCAGCTTTTGGATCGGTCAATGTTACAGTGAATTATTTTCATTTTATTTGTTTGATCCATAAGTCGATTCGCTGGTTTATACGCTCTTTCATGGCTTTGACTCTAGGACAAAGGAAGTTGCTGCATGTTGTGTATCAAATTTGGTATTGAACTTATTATTATGCATTTGGCAGTTGTAGCACGTAGTAGCCGATTTATTCGCCTTATTTGGACAGTTTGTGTATGTGTGATTTCCTGCTGCACAGTGCGAGCAGGGATGGATATTATTGGTACACTTGCCTTGAACGTGTCCAAACTGAAGACAGCTAAAGCACTGAATGAATGGGCAAAAATTTTCGACATGTATACGTTGATGATCAACGTTTATTCTTCCGGAATCCATTATTTAAGAAAACTGCGTTGTATAATTTAGGGTTTTTGTTTCTCCTCTTAAAACGTAAGCAAAAAGCGCCGTCCGTATTATTTATGAGGTCCCGTAATTCGTCGTTTTGCCCTGTGATGATACTGACTAACTCTTCTGATGGGACGTCATTTGATACGCCCTTTAAGATGACCATAGGATTCATTTTGCGCGCGGCTTCAGCGTTAACTGTCGTAGCAGATTTCAAACGTTCTAAAGCGTCGTCCCTCTGGGAGCATGTATCGAACTCTACTCGAAGTTTATTATTTGATATGACTTGCAATTTGGAGGGTGCATAATTACAACTCTTAAAACAGATACTCTTACGCCATGATTCGATAACTTCTTATCGCGAATTAACTTTATTAGTAGGAGTGACAATAATAGCCGGTTTTGATGCATGTGTGGGTGCTGGATTGCTTCGCGGAGGACGAGGAGTAGAAGCAACACTCGCATTGGATGGAGGATTTGGTTTGAGTGGGTTTGGAAATCTCTTCCTTAATAGTATTTTACAGCGACTCTTTAACCTCTATAATACTTGACGTATATTCAGTTTTTATTTGTGTTTCTCCTATGATTCTGTTAATGTCATGCGCTATTTCTATAATCACTTTTTTTGCTGTCTGATGTCACACTTCTGACAGCCGATATGGTTGTGATTATGTTATTCGCTATAGTGGTTATTGAATTAAGGCCTTCGAGTATGTTTGCAGAAGTAGTCATCCTATGATAGGGTGAATTTTCATTTGCGATGCCACTAGTTTCAGTATCTGTGCACGCCATTTTATTTAAACTTTCCTAAATGATCAACAATTTTTAGGAAAGTTATTAGCAAATTTATGGTTGGTTAGGTTAGGTTAGGTTAGGTTCGGTTTTTTTTTTTTAATTTACTCTACAGACTCGAAGTCCGTACCTTTTTTTGCTTTACTTTATTTTATTAACTTTTAAAATACTGTTATAAATGTACTCCTTACACTACTTACCTTACTTAAATATTTAAGCCTAAGCAGTGAGTTCACATATATATATATATATATTGATTTTTTTTTTGTATTTTTTTTTTTGTATTTTTTTTATTTATTGTCTTACATACTTAAGATCTACAAACTAATATGCTTACATGCGACATGCACTTACACGCTATATTATTTTTATTTATTTTTTTATACTTTTTTATTATTATTATTATTTTTTTTGGGCATCATTATTATTTATCTTTTTTTGTTGTTTAATCATAATAATTGTCCCTTTTTTTCCTTATGTAGTTATCAACCTTTTTACCTTTTCTTATAGTAGCTTTCCTTATTAATTACTTTCTATTTACACTAGTTCACAATACTATTCTATTTTATTCCTTGACATTCGCATTTATACATACATATACATATGTACGCACACACGTACATATACTTATACATATTGTAACTACATTCTTATACTATTGCGGATAATATACTCAAATTGTATATTAATTAGTCTACCACTTTGCTTCCATTCTCTTTATTTATAACTTTTAATATGGAGAGAGCATAGCCTATAAAATAAGATCTGCAATAGTCATCTGCCATGATTAAGCTTAAGTTCTTAGAGTTTACGTCCATTCCCATGCTGCACTCGCACTCGAACCTTTTTTTGCCAAAACGTGGGCAATCTAAAATTATACGCTCAAGGGTTTTTTGTGAGCTATTATCGCATGTGCAGTGTGGGGACGGTGCTAACTTAAACCTGTAAAGATAGGCTTTATTGCCACCATGACCGGTTAGTAACTGCGTTATGATGTTAGTTAAGTTTATATGTTTAAGTATTTTGTACGCAGTCGTGACGCTCGGGAAGAAAGCTCTCGTTGTTTCGCTGGTTGCTGCCTCTTTATACTTGAGTTGCCAATTTAGCAAGGTGTGGTTCCTGGTGAGGTACTTAGCGTATGACAATGGGATCAAGTCGTATGCGGGTCTCTGCTTTTTATGAGTAGCGGCATATTTAGCTAACTCGTCTGCTCTCTCATTTCCCCATAGCCCACAATGAGCTTTATTCCAGTAAAAATTTATTTCCCCATTTCTTTTTTCTACGATGTTCAGTTCTGAATTATTTTCTGCAGCGATCGGATTAAGTGCTGATGGATTGCAAATAGTAGTTATTGCTGAATCAATCGCTTAAAATATTAACCTGGGAATACTTTTTGTTTATCACGAATTTGATCGCTTTCAAGATGGCTATCAATTCTGCTTGATAGACACTGCAATAGCTCTCAAGTTTACAAGTTATATTTTTAATTTCTTTCCCATTTAGCCAGACTGAAATTGCAGCTCCAACCTTATTGTTCATCTTGCTTCCATCTGTATAGATATTTAGCCATTTGTTGCTAATGTTATTTATATCTTCTTGTTTTGTTACTAGCTTAAACTCTCATTGTCGTCTTTCTACAGGATGTGGCAGGTGATATGGGCTAATCCTCGTCTCAAAGCACCTTCCTGGGAGTGACTTCATAGGTTTGATTTCATATATCTCCGCGTTTTCTTTGGCACGTAAAGCTAGTGGAATGATTTGAGCTAGAAGTGCACTCGAGATGAGAGAAATGGTTTGTGTCCCTTACAAATCCGGATACTAAACATTCGTGTAATTCTGTTAAGGATTCGTTCGATATATTTTTTATTTGTGGTTTCTGCCCAGCAACTGGCTGCGTAAAGGATAGTAGGTTCCACTACTGCTAGGTAGATAGTTCGTATGATATCCGAGTTCAAACCCCACTGTGCCCTTGCAGCTCTAGAGACTATTTTGTATAAGTTGATGGCTTTGCGGCAGACGTAATCGATATGGGGCTTAAAGCTCAAATTTTTGTCTATTATGATTCCAAGAATCTTTAAATGGTCCGAGTATAATAGAGCGACTTCGTCGATAAATAGCTTTGGGCAATGATATTTGAGTTTTTTGGGATGATGGTTGTTTGCGTTTTGTGAGGGGAAAATTTTAGTTTGTGCTTACGTCCTCATTCTGTTATTATTTTTAAGGTGTTATTTATATCTTTCTCCAATTGTTCTCCATCCTTGTTTGAGGCTACAACTAATATGTCGTCTGCGAGGGCCTGTACGTGCGCAGGTGCGTTTTCTGTTGCTTGCAGCAATGGATCCAATTGGACATTCCACAGCATGGGTCCGCAGGTTGAGCCTTGGATACATCCCTTGCTTGTGGGTAGGTTTGTTGTCTCGTTTGCATAATTTAAGCTGATTTCTCTACCAGAGAGATAACAAGTAATAAGTCTTAGCATGGTTGGTTCGACTCGTTTGTTTTGGCAGGCCACCATGCGTTGTCGAATGCACCTTCGATGTCTAATGATACCAGTGATATTATTTCTTTTCTGCGAAGTCCTCCTTTTATCAGAGTGATAATGTCGTAGAGTGCGTCTTCTGTCAGCTGCTTGTTATGAGCACGCTCAATTCTTACCAATTCCTTTGCAGATCGGCATCGTTCCTGCTCCAATCCAAGGCGATGCCGCGAGCGAGAATCAGATAACGAGAGCACGGTTTCATACAATCCCTGCAAGCAGTTGTGTACTTCTACTTTGCAGTCGCGTTTCATATTTCCGGCTTTTTCAAGTGCTTCCTTTCCTGAGAGCAGGAAGTCATTAGCTCGTTGAGTAGCTAGATCCATAGATATACCGGCCCGCTTGTAAGCGGGTGGCAATATACTGGATCTCCTGCTGTTAAGGCTGGTTGCACTATCTGCGTCAGACCATTCATCATCAGTACGTTGGAATGGTTTACATTTCCCTAAAACCTCCAATTCGGCTTCCATGTCTAACGTTAATGAGCTTCGGTTTTCAGAATCTGCTTCCTGTCCCATTTCAGTTGTGATGTTATGAGAGTCAACTGCTGTCGGTTTTTCGGGTTTCATTGGGTCATTAACGCTCTGGGTTTCCTTGCTGATTCCTATAAGGCTTACTGTTTCAGGGCACGGTTCGCTGATGGAGTAACCTCTGGTGGCTGGAATATCCTCTGTTGCTTTGTTAGACGTGGCAGCATTCTGTATGAGTACTTTTTTACGTAGAGTCGTACTGAGAGTTGGACTTGCAGCCCTGCTCGTTTTAGATGCCCTTGATTTGATTGAGCCCGTAACTGATGCGGTTGACTTACTGGACATTATTTATGTTTATTCTTAAGAAAAGTGCTATCGGTATAACTTGTACAGAAATAGAAAGCCGATCTCAAGCTAAGTTGTTTAAACCCAAACACGACCGGTTTTGGTCGAATAGTGCCGAAGTTATGACGGTTTAAATTTTTCCAATATGGCCGACCGTAACTTTGTTTTTGCTCTAGATCGGTATTTTATGGATCAAAATGCTTCGTGCTTGAGCTCAATTCGTGGGAAATGAGATGAGCTATGCGTTCCACTTAGTCACAGCCACCTACTGGTCAGGTGCTATCTGGCAAGAGTTTTAGCTCCGTCAGGCTGCTCTGATCAAAATAAGGCCAAACACGACCCTCCCCGCTCAACTGGTTCGCGAGAAATTCAACAAAACCGATTTCCAATATGGCGGCCAATTAAGATCAATTTCTCTAACTTGGGAACGGTGAAAGGTAACAAAGTCGTGTTTGGACTCTTTGGATAGCTCTGGGCAACGGTATTACGAACCTATTAAGCAACAAATAAAATAATTAATTATTTGCAAGTTATGAACCGAAATCATATAAAATATACGAAAAAATGTATATCTCAAAAACTATCAGGAATAATTGAATTCTAAAAATGCCAATAGTTTTAGGCTTTTTTAGGTCTATTTTTAAATTGATTCTAAAGAAGCCGCAAAGGCCCAGAAGTGGGAGCACGTGTAAGCGTAATTTGAGATAAAATCGAATACCTGAAATTTCAAGACGAAAAAATCTGAAATTTTCCACAAAGGTACTCTTTTAATTAAATGTTATCGATTTATTTTTAAATTTATAAAAGTTTAAACATAACAATTTTTTAATAAAAAAGGTAAAAAGAGCAAGGGTCAACCGATCTAAGCAAATGAGGTGTCGTCTGAAAGTGCTTTATACACCGCATCCAAAACCACTATATAAATTATCCGAACGTAATTATTTCTCAAACCACGTGCCACGTGGTTTTTGAGAAAAATCGTTATAACTCCGTGATTTTTTAAGGAAAAAATCCGGAACAAATTGCAAAATGTGAAGCTAATGAAATGCCAAATGGTGCGCTAAAAAAGTTAATAGGTTGCTGATCTAGATTTTGCAGCGTTT